TATATATATAAATTCTTAATATACACAAAATAATTCGTTTGTGTTCCAAGTTAATTTTCATTTACAAGTAAAAATTATTAAATTATTTTTATATATACTTTAACATCTCCAAAAACTGTTTATACTAGTAAAGTTGTGTATTTAAAAAAAAAGTAAAGAATAGAGACCATTATCTCTAGCTAAGTGCACTTAGTTTTAAAGGAAAGAAATGTGCAGGACACAAATGACTTAATCGCGTATACTAAAGGTTTACACAACTCACACACGCATATATAAATTCTTTTATAAACGAAGAGATTCATAATTTTGCCATGTATGTGAGTGCCAAGCCATGGCACTCATGGTGCAAAAGTAATTCTTCCTATATAAAATTTGAAAATGATGTTAAATGTGAATCGTATACTTTTCTAACACGAGAATAATGTGCGAGAAGAAGATATAAAGCTTTACATCTTTTCATTTCAAGAATCCTACTGAGTGACAAGAACGATTCGTCTCTCTGAAAGAAGGTGACGAAAGGTTGGAGCAGTTGAAAGTACTCACCATCTCTTGACATGCCGAGGCGTAGGCACTTTTGCAACCGACAGTACTGGCACCGGTTTCTGTTTACACGGTCGACCACACAATTCTTGTTCCGCGGACATTGATAGTTGACGACCGATGACTGCGACCGCCTGAAGAAGCCCTTGCAACCCTCGCAGGTGATCACACCGTAATGTACGCCGCTGCTCTTGTCCCCGCATACCTTGCATGGGATTATCTCGATCTGAGCTGTAACCATAAAAGAAACGAGCAATTCAATTATGAGCTCAAATCAAAATGTCTTGCAAAATTTTCCCTTGCTTCATAACTTTTTTTATTTCATAATATAAATAATACTTCATCAAATTTCAAGGTTTCATTCATATATATCTAGCAAAGTACTAACGGATTTTCTTTTTTTATCATCTTTATTATAATTCATTTCAAATTTCTTCGCTTCGAAGATTTCCATTAAATTACTAAAAAATTGAATTCTCTATGTAACGACATATTCTGATTTATTCATCAAGAATATATTATAAAATGCATTCTTTTCGTACTTATCAAATAAAAAACTTATAAGTAATATAACAGAATTCCTTAAATTATATATGTAAAGTTCTAAAGTTCTAAAATTCAAATCGGTGTATAATCACAATAAATATATTAATTTTAAGCCGCGCATATAATCGTTTTGTTCTTTATTCTTTATTAAAGCCATTGTATTAATTGTGAATCGAGTTGGAAGTAATCGAAATTATTTTAAGAAGTTTTAATATATTTTACAATCCAATTGTAAATATATCACCTAATTTCTTTAATGGCTCTACCTCGTATCGAATTGGCCTGCAATCTACGATCATCGAGGACCGCGCTGCCAGCATCGGAGAGAGGCTGCGCGGATCTCTCTCTCGATCTCGATCTTTCCGTCGACCGAGGACTCGTACTGTCCGCACCCCACGTAGGCCCGCCAAATCCTGACAGACTTCCCTCCATTTACAGATATTTCTTGCTGGTTTCATTTACGATCTATCGTGAGGACAATACCGGCTCGATTTCTGAAGATCCACGTGTATGACTATGATCGAAATCAGTCGTCCGTGGACTGAACGTCCTTAATTAGTCTTTAATTGAGTCTTTGTCTTAAATACACACTATTCATTTTCACGATATATTTTATGTGGAATATTACATAAAAATACATAACCATTCTCAAAATGCGTTCGTTGAATTGTTCTTTAATTAAGTAATAATATTTTTAATTTAAAAAATTAATACAAAGCGATGTAAAATATTTTGAAGATCAAGTTTATTATTATTATTATCGAATGTTTGAATTATTCAAAATCAAAACTGGTAAATTATTTTCTTACATACTTTAAAGTAAAAATAATATTACGAAAGAAATAATTGAAGAAATTTTAAATTAGAAAAACTTAAGGAAAACTTATTAAATTCTGCTTATTAAATTCTTGGCAAAAACTGAGTTGTTTGTTAAACAAGTTTATGAGTCTCAAAATCTATCGTTTTTTTATCTGCTAGGGTTAGATCAAATTCCTCTTTTCTTATCGTTCACAAAGATAATGACATTCAAACATATATACATTGTGTAATCGCAATTTAATTCGATTTCCAGTAAGGACTGGTATAAACTGTATGACATATATCTGTATTAAATTCACAGCTAAAAATCATCTTTTAAAGTTAGTTTTAGAATTGAAAATTGTAATTTCATTAAGTTTTACATTCAATTTGTTAAAGAATGGACTCGTAAATTTTGTTACTCTATATTATTAATAAAAAAACGTACTCAGACATTGAAAAAAAGAGATGTATAAAAACTTTTCACTCGCGTAATTACAGAATTATTCTTTCAAAAACTTTTCAAAAAAATGAATCGGTGATTTTAAAAAATTATACAAAAAAATTTGAAAACTCTCAACGGCAGGGCTTGTTAGCGGCCAGAAAAAAATCAGTGCGAAAAACAATTTCGTAAAGCGGGGAAAAAGGGTGGGTGAAGTGTCGTGATTATTCGCACGTGCGCGTGTGCGTGCACGGAAACGAGGATTTGGTGCGTAGCCGGTCCCCAGTCTGGATATATATCGCCCGAATATGCTTCTCCCGTCCGGCAACTCTAGCGCCACGAGCAGAACGTCGAGGCGCTTGCACCATACATACGCGGCCGAACATTACATAACCGAGAACGATGAACCCAGAGTACAGTCACCCGGCACGCTCGCATCTTCGACGTGCGTCATGCGGAGAGCGCAGCGTGCAACGGCAACGGTGGACAGGCATTATACCCGGAACTCCCGAAATCGAAATAGTCGCCTTCCTCTTACACCACGTCGATGTATTGTTGTAGTTCACAATGTAATTCTTTGTTATTTGTATATGAAAAGTCACCAGTTATACAATACAGCTAAAATAAGATATGAGAATAATTTTAATATTTATTACGTCTAACAAAATAAAGTGTATTCTTATTAAAATGATTATTATAAAATAATTATCCGCGATTTTTCTAAAAGAATTTTTTATATTGTCTTTCGAATTATTTTATATCATTATCTCTTCTTATTAATTTCTTTTTTCACAATGACTAAAATAGCTTATGTCGGCAAATGTTTTCTCTTACTTTGTATGAGAGTTTTTAAGCGCATTCTTGTTCGATTTATCTTTTGTTGAAGCAATTTCGATGTAGCGTTTTCTTTTCTGTAGAGAATAATCTCATACCAAATTTGTTATAATATATAGATACAATAATCACAAAGTACGTGATGTTGCCTCTTTCTTCTGATTTATATATATATAGATTATTCTTATTAATATTTAATGCAACGTAATCAAGCAAAAATAATGTATATATACATACACATATATATATATAAAATATATAGTAAAATATAATATTGTCCATTATATATCGTTGCCATTATATATCATTAACCTATTTTTTTTTATTTTAATGTTCTTCATTACTATAATTACTTCGTTTTGCTCATAATAAGCTTTAGTCAGACCGAGATAAAAGGAGGCAATAGTGCTTCGTATAAAGTTTCGTTGTAAGTTAAGTTATATATCCATAGAAATTTTTCCATGGAAATTGTAATATAACTTTACTGAAACAAGCAGACGTTTTAGCAAACAGACTGAAACATATTTTTTGAACATTTTGAACAAATTACAATTTATCAATCTAAGAGGAGGCAAACAAAAAAAAACTCGATGATAAATCTTTTTTAAGAGAGAAATTCAGAAGTAAGAATTTATGCGTTTTACTCTACATTAATTGTAATATAAAGTACAAATAGCTACAAGTCATAGAATTATATATAGGATTCGTAAATATTATTAAATAATTATACAACTTCCCATGAGGTGAAATGCTATCTTATTTTCTTTAAATTCTTCTTTAAGCTCCGCACACACAATCTGAACGAGCAATTTTGTCCACCGTGTAGTCGTGCGACTACACGAATAGCGCGCAAATCGTGAACCGCGCGCAAGCGCGACAGAAAAGTATATGGAATCGCGCGTGTACGCACAACACGCGCTCTTCTCCGCAATTTTCCACCTGGAGACTTTCCAGCCGCGCAATTCGATCGCACTACGCGTTTTCGTTACATACGTTTTCCACACACGTACACACAGGACAGACGATATACCACTCGCGCGAATCCACGGAACAAGTTTTGCGCGACGAGCAAAAACGGAAAACGATGCTCGCGTTGGTGGAAAGCGAAGAAAGACGCTCTTTGCGAATTGATTCACGTCAATAAGATGATACACTCAGACTGACGCGGTGGACTTCCGTTCAACGCTCGCGTGCTCCAAACGAGGAAATCTTTTCGAAGGTTGTTTCGAAGAAATTAGTATAACGATAAAGAACGCAGGATGAAAAGAGAGAAAGCGACGAGAAACATGAGGAAAAGTCTGCGTAATGTTAATACTACGCGCCGCGCAGTTGGCGTGGGAGCACTCGCGGCTACACTCTTCAGATTTCTTTGGTTGTGATCGAGAATTTCGGGAGGCATTCGGAACATATATGACCGCGAGTGAAGAACGAGTATACACGCGGTGCGACTGTTCTCTCTCTCTCTCTCTCTCTCTCTCTCTCTCTCTCTCTCTCTCTCTCCCTCCCCCCCTCTCTCTCTCTCTCACGAGAACACCGACCTCATCGTTTGCGCGCGCGGCCGGAAAAACTCGCGGAAAGTTCACGACTGACGGTACGAATATTTTGGGGATTTTGACGAGCCAAGGCGGCGGTAATATGTCGGACGAAGAAGGAGAGAGAGAGAGAGAGAGAGAGAGAGAGAGAGAGAGAGAGCGTGTACGCCCGCGCGCGCCTCAAATAAGAGAAAGATGGAGAAAATGTCAGTGAGAGAAAGGGAGATAAAATGAGAAGCAAAGGAAGGAGTGAAAGGAGACAACGACAGAAAGAGGGAGAGCGAGATGGAACGAGGTGTTTTTCGAGGACCGGCGTTAGCGGGCTGGCATCTCACAATATGTCAGAATTCCCCGCGCCCCTCTTCATCGCGCGACGATGCGGCGGGTCACTGAACTGTGCGCCTCCGCTGATGATGGCCGAGTGCCTCACCCTTTGCTCCCTCCACCCCCCTTACCGCACCGACAGCGCCACTGCCCCCACCACCCCCGCGCGTGCCGAAGATTCGCGAGTATAGGCGAACGTTGCCGGTGACGGTCGACTGTCATCGGAAACGACCGAGAGCCGCGCCGGCTGGATTACGAGCGCATAGCGCGCGCTTTCCGATCTCGACTCGTGCGACGCGTTTGCTTTATTAGTGCGCCTTGTTAAGGTCACTGGCGTGCTACCTAAATGCATGCGTGTATCGTGTTTCCTACATAGGAAGCGCGACTCGCGTAATTTGGGGATTTCATGGCGGGGATAGAATTCCCGGTTTTCTTTTTTTTTGTTTTTACAGAAAAATTGCTAATAAAAGTAGATGGAAAAAAAATAATTTTTTTTTAAGTTTTCTAAATCAATTTTTTCTTAAGAATGCATATTTTTTAACAAGATGAAAAAATTATAAAAATATTATAAATTTTTCTATTTATTGTATTTGTGAAAATAATATAAGAAATTTGGTGACGATTTAGAATCTGGAAAAATTATTTCAATAAGTAATATGTTTTTAAAAAAAATCATTAAGATAAAATGAAAAAAAATTTACACAGTAAGTTATAATGGTATTGTTAAATATATAATATTGTCTTTTTACGTATAT